TATCATCCCATATGTGTCTCCTAAGATATCTGTGTGAAGTCTGAGTAATGTCTTAAAGTGATGTCCCTTGAGGCAGCAACGGTTGAATATTACATTACATGCGGGGTGAAGTGTCTTGCCCTGGGACAACGACATGCTGACTGCAGTGGGACTCGAACTTGCTCTCCCCTGATCCGAAGATCAGTGCACTATTCCACTGAGCCACAGCCCCAGAATATAGTTAAATGTGCACAACTGCAATATGGCAAAAATGTGTCTGTCTTGTGGGGTAATTGTTCAAAGCAGTCATTCTTTCCAGTCTTTGACAAATTAGGGATACAAATATGTTAAAAATGTTGCCTAGAAGCAGTTTGTGGTGCTTTAGGTCACATTCACACCTAATAGTCCGTTTTCAGGTGCTCACTAGACAACAGTTTGTTACATTGTTTCATTTTTCAGAAGGTTCGGTTTGTGTTCACACACTCAAACGGACTATAAACTTTAAACACAAGTCATGTGCACGGAAATGCTGTTCAACAATTGGTCAGACATTAACGGGGAAAAAACTCAAATCCGTGCCATTTCTACCGTAGCCTCCGCAATGGAGCATCGGCAGGTTATTTTCATGCTGCTGTTAATCTGGAGAGTGTATCAACAGAATCTAGTGGACAGCACATAATTATACAATCAGACGACATGCGTTAAAAAACATTATAACACATATAATGAGAGACGTTCTGCAGTAAGGAGGGATGTTTCACTGACGACAGGTGGCTCTTACTTTTATGTATAGTTGAAGGAGCATTTTTACTTTACACAACACTGTTCAACACTTAATTCTGCTTCATTCTTTAACTAAACAACCGCGGATGTCTTGAAAGACTCTTTCGCTAAAGATTTTGAAGACATCCGCGTTTTTGGGACTCGTAAATACTACGCTTCCTATGTTTTGGTGCGGACTGTGTTCACACCAGCGATGATCTGCTCCAGAGTTAACTTGCAAGCGGTCCGAGACCACCTCTTTTAAGCAGACCAGAGTCCGGTTGTTTAGTTCACTTCTGAGGTCTCGGACTGCGTTCACACCAACCCAAACGAACCGCACCAAGCGGCTAAACGCACCAGGGTTCGATTAAACCGGAGTTGGTGTGAATGCGACCTTAGATTGTCCTGTATCTTTGCAGAAAGGAGGGGTGCAAACACAGTGTCAAGGTTGGTGAGAATATGTTATGATCATGCTGTCTTTCTTTCGAAATCGATCATTGTGGATGTCCTCCAGATGTGGTAGTGTGGTCTCTATGGCCTCCTTAGCTGCCTTCAACACCCGTCTTTCCCTGTGCAGCTGCTGAGCACACTGTGCAGCAGTACACTGGTAGGCTCTTGATGGTGGAACAATACAAGTTCACCGGCAGCTGCTAAGGGAGTTGGGACTGTTTAACTTCCCTGAAGAGGGCACACACTGAAATGTACAAATCATTTGTCCCCTGTCAGTCTCAATAACTTTTAGTCTATCTTTAATAGGCTATATCTTACCATGACATATGTTTTTGCAGTTGGTGACAGTCTTCTCACTTGTATATACCTTAGCAGATGTCCACTTTGCTGACATTCAACAAAACCCTATGGATATCCTGTTGGCAGTAGTTTCAAAGACCATAATTCACACAGTCCCTGCTGTAGAGGGACAGAGTGAATCCTCATGATGTTAATTTCTTCTTCACTTTATTTTAGTCCACTGTGGGGCAAACTAACAAGCTCCTAAATGTCACAGAAAGTGCTGAGGGTGGGGACATATGCACTTGTTCAACACAATGGTGTCATACAATTGTATCACAAACTCAAATTTCCTAATTTAAACTAAATATATAAATGACAAATACAATGAGCCCTGAAAAAACCACAGGGAACAAGTGTCTGACTCCAACCTGTTGGTCAAACATTTTGATATTAATCATCAGATCCTCTGAAACTTTCCAACATACAATCATCAGTCAGTAAGCTTCATTTACTTATTGACACATCTTCTCAATCTGCCTTCACTACTTCTGTAACATTTCCTGAAATGTAATTATACTCCTCGGAAAAATGCCTGAACATGCATTCTCTAGTACAGGGCTTCTCAAACTCCGGACCAAGGTCCGGATCTGGACCGAACTGCAAATCAATCTGGACCAAACCCTGTGTCCCATTATATATATATAAAAAAGAATGTCTGATTCTGATGTAAATTAAAGTGGACCTATTATGCTATATTGGAAACATATATTGTAGGGCCATACCTATACAAAGCATGTCTGTGAAGTTTTTTGCTTAAAATACCAAACAGTTCACCCATTGTAGCCATGCCTCATACTGCTCATACCCCTCTTTTGCAGCCCTGTTAGAGAAACGCGGATTTTGGGTCCTTCGCTTGAAAAAAAAATGGCGGAGGCGGAGCTAATACCTGATCAGAATTCTACCAGAGATAAAGTTCAATTCTGCTGTGATAAAACGCCATCCTGTTCTAAACCACATCAAAGATTATTTTTGAAACAGTACGGAGCTCAAATGCTTTTTCTCTTGCGGGTTTATCACAAGGTGAGTTCCTTTTCTTATTTCCTGCTTTTTAAACACGTGCTCTACAATACAGGTTAGCTCTGAGTGTTAGCGAGGCTTGCTAATGTAAACAAAGACAAGATTACGTCCAAAACACGTCAGGCATTGTTTCTGATAGCAATTTTCTGTGGGTCTGCTGCCGATTTGACGTCAGATCGGCAGCAAATCTGTATCCGCTCGTTGTACCCCTGTTTTTAAAAGATTTGGGTACGGAGGAAAAGAGAGAGGGTTTTATTTTCTGACGCTGCGTGAGTTCTTCAACGCACCGGGGACACATATTTATGTATAAAAGACATCACAAAGTGCATTTTGCATGATAGGTCCCCTTTAATGTATATTTTCTTTCTTCAGACCGCAAGTTAACCACAAGTTTACCTTGACTTTCTAATGCTTCTAATGCCGAGGTTCAAGGCATTGGCTACAGACAAACAGTGCCATTTCTCCCACTAGTTCAAGCCATCATACTGTGTATGCATGTATTGAATGTGTGTGTGTGTATACAGGGGCGCCATTTACCGACAGGCAAGTGCTTGGACCACAAGGGGGCCCCCAAATAAGGTAGATTAATCCAATCCAATCCAATCCAACTTTATATAGCACTTTAAAACCTCCAGACCAAAGTGCTGTACATGTAACATCCCGTCATGTCTGCTAAATTATTCATATCATGTTAATCAGGTTCATGTTATTGTTTCACGTTTAGTTCATAGCCCAGGTTAGATTTAGGTTTAGTCAAGTCTTTTTGTTCACCTGTCTAGTCCTGTCATTGCACTTCCTGTTTTATTTTGTACTTACCTCTTGTCTCTCATTTCAGGCCCCCTTACTTCCTCCCTTTGTGTGTTTTCCCGCCATCGTCAGCGTCTGCCCCGCCCCTGATTGTTTCCACCTGTTCCCACTTACCAGGGGCGGATCTAGAAAAATATTCATGGGGTGGCAAGAGGGTGGCAGGAGATTTTGAGGGGTGGCAGAAGTATATGCTGATTTAATCAATCAATGTTAACAATCAATGTTAGACCCCCACAAAGAGGTTAAGGCGAGACACGGCAGGCAATAACATCGTTTTTCAAGTACTGGTCAATTTTGAGATTTTGTGCTATTTTGATTCCATAACATGTTTTCTTTCAGGCTTTTGGAAGGAAAACGTACAAAATACACATTTAAGTGTTTATTTTACTATAGTTTGTCTATTTGCATCTGTAGATTTCTCCTAAATTCACCAAAAGTTAGCATTCTAACGTAACATAAAGTACCGCGACCGCTGTGTGCACCATGTCAACAGAGGTATCGCTGGAAAGCTGTGTCTCTCCTGCACAATCTCATCGGATCCAAATATGGTCATTTTCTTTGTATCAGCAACCAATCGTGAAAGCACAAAGGGGTCTTAAACCAAGAAACGAAATCTCATTGGCTGATGTCAATTTCTGACAACGTGATTCGTTCAGATGCGTCACGTGGTGTGCTAAAACACTTCCTGGTTAGCTTTCAGCTAGAAATTGAAATCTCAAAATGCCAAAAGAACGGCGAAAAAAACGTTCACAGAGAAGACGACAACAATTGTCACTTGCACGAAGCAAGGTTATAAAAAAAAAAATTACCCTGAACATGAAATACCTTCACGGAGTGCGTTGATGCGCAAGCTGTCATCCAAAGAACAGGAGGGTTTAGCTAGCGCCTCACTGCAATCTTTAAAGGTCGTTTTCTCAAAATGAGTTTTTTCACCTGGGGTGTCTCGCCTTAAGGATGGCAGCTTCCTCATACGTTGCACTCGGAGAGAAATAGTTGAGACAGAGACGATAAACTTCCTTAGTCCTTAGGCATGGTTTATTTTACTCTGCACTGCAGGTGCATCCTTTCGCTCAGCCGAGCTAACTTAGAATAACAACACCTATTGCCTCACAGTGGTACAATAATAACATGACATCCCTTTGTGAGCTTGAGTACAGAATATATATATATATATATTTAACAACTGAGGACAAATGTACACATTTCCCTTAACACAAGTTTATCACGTTAACAGTTTTCTATGCTCATCGAGTCATTCGTGAGCAGAGCATCAAGTTGGCTATAACAGCTGAATGCGGCGATTTCCATGTTGTTCAGCAAAACGCCTCACAAACTTATTGAGATCCAAAGCTTTACTGGGTTTTGATTTAATGCTGAGTACAGCCAAACTTGACAGTCTCTTTTCTGTCATTGTAGACCTCAAATAACTCTTAATGATCCTAAGAGTTGAAAAACTTCTTTCACAGGATGCACTGCTCACCGGTAAAACTACTGCTATTTCACACAATCTGGACAACTCGTAAAAAATATCCTTGTATGGGTCCAAAAATTGAGCAAACTCCATCAGAGTGGTAGGACTCCCCTTTTCCTTCTTCTTTATTTCTAGTACTCTCCTCGTCTGATGTAATTCGTGTTTAAGATCCTCAATCCTTGAAACGGAACATCATAGTGGGGCCCTCATCACTGATGTCAGTGATCACCTGCCAATATTCACAATTTGCAGAAAATAACCTGTAAATAACAAAGAACAAAATACATACATAACTAAGCGGACATTAAATGACAGTTCTCTAAATAAATTAAATACTAACTTAAAAAATTAAAAATGGCAAGAAGTATTTGAGATTCAAGATGTAAACAAATCCTATAATGAGTTTGTACGGATTTTCATGCAAAACATGAACGAATGTTGTCCATATATTAAAATTAAGATTGGCAAAACCCTGGTGAAAAACGCTTGCTGTAAGAAAAATGCACTCGATAGGACATTTTTGAAAAGTAAAAGCACTGAAGATGAAAGCCGTTATAAAAATTGTATAAAAACAAATTGACTACAATCCTTAGAAACTGTGAAAAACGATACTTCTCTGAAAAATTAGAAAATGCCATAGGAGATATGAAAACCACTTGGAAAGTAATAAATAGCATAATTAAGAAGAAAATAACTGACAACAGAAACGAATTTAAGAAATTCCAAACCGAAGGAAAAACCTCAACCGATGTTGCAAATAGCTTTAATGAGTTCTTTACTGAAATTGGCCCCAACCTGGCGAGTAAAATCAGCCCAACTTCATCTAAAGTGGCTGATTTTCTGAAAAACTGCAACCAACAGAGTATGTTCCTGAACCCAATTACAGAAAATGAACTGCTTGATATTGTTAATACTCAACACAGTAAACAGTCCAAAGATTATTTAGGACTTAGTATGAATATTGTTAAACAAGTCGCACCAAACATTGTAGCCCCCCTAGTAAATATATGCAATAAATCGTTCCAACAAGGTATTTTTCCCAATGAAATGAAAATCGCGAAGGTGATTCCGGTTTTCAAATCTGGTGATAAATCTAGTTTTTATAATTATAGACCCATTTCTTTACTACCACAATTCTCAAAAATCCTGGAAAAACTCTTTAACAACCGTCTGGAGTCATTCCTCAGCAAATTTAATATACTATGCCCCAGCCAATATGGATTTCAGAAAAATCACTCTACTTCTTCAGCAGTAATTGAACTGGTTGAAGAAATTACCAACAACATTGAGAAAAAAATTATTACAGCTGGTATATTCATTGACCTTAAAAAGGCTTTTGATACTGTGAACCATACCATACTGCTACACAAATTAGAACATTATGGCATAAGGGGTCAAGCCAAAGAATGGGTCAAGAGTTATCTGATAAATAGGCTACAATATGTGGACATAGACGAGGCGAAATCAAACAATCTTCCTATAACATGTGGAGTCCCTCAAGGATCAATCTTAGGTCCAAAACTGTTCCTGATTTATATTAATGACATTATCAACACCTCAGACATGTTAAAATTCATTTTGTTTGCCGATGATACCACCATTCTCTGCTCCCATCATAATCTTGGTGATCTTGTTAAAATTGTTAATGCAGAATTAAAAATACTATGTAACTGGTTTGCAGTTAATAAATGATCCCTTAATGTGGCCAAAACAAATTACATGTTATTCAATACAAAGTCAGAGAGTAGAAATGATTATTATACGGATTTGCAATACTGAGATAAGAGAAAGTTGGTGCATGTACATTTTTAGGACTCATTGTTGATGAAAAACTCAACTGGAAGCACCATATAAATGATGTACAAACTAAACTGTCAAAAACAATAGGTATTTTGTATCATACTAAGAACATTCTCGAGGAAAAAATACTCAGAACTCTTTATAACAGTCTATTCCTCCCTTACCTTTATTACTGCTCCGAAATATGGGGAAACACGTACGCAACAAATCTACAAAAAATAATAACATCTAAAAAAAAAAGTATTACGAATAGTCTGTGGTGTTGGTAAATATGAACACACAACTCCCATATATAAAAAAACTCAATCTACTCAAATTTGTTGATATAGTTAAGCTTAAAACAGTACTGATTATGCACAACATTTACCATAACAAAATGCCTACTAACATTCAAAAGCAGTTCCAAACCACAGTCAGGAAATACCCAACCAGGCATCCTAACTGGTTGTGTAGCAAGCCCTGTAGAACAACCATCAAATCACACAGCTTATCCATAATCGGAGTTAGAACGTGGAATGGACTTCACCCAGACCTCTCAAGTATTACTATTCAAAACTAAAGTAAAAACAATTATATTTGCAGATTACTCCAGCTAACAAGTATGTGATATTCCTAGTATTACTTATATATGCATTTACTTTTTTCCTTGCCCTAAATTTAATTTAATTTTTTTTTCCAGTTTTCTTTATTTTTTTTGTACGTAATTTCTATACGTTTTTGACGAAATAAGTGCCATTATTATATTGATGCTAATGATGATGCACGGGAGGGCTACTCCCCATAAGCTATGCTTCAGCCCTCCCGCTTCTACTAATTTTGTTCATTTGTGTGAATGAATTATACGTTTTTGTTTTTGTATGATTTTAGTAGAATAAATTAAAAATGAAAAAAATATATATATATTAGAATCATAGGCATTAGCCAATAAAAGAATAGCCTTCTCACTCAAAAAAGTAGCACTTGATGGATTTAGTGCCTGGATACCTTGCATTATGTTGCAATTTGTGTGAGAAAAGCGTCTTTCTATTTCTCCAATCATGTTATCCATAACTGGATAGTACACATTGACGCAAAAAGAGTGTTTGCCATCTGGAACTACATGCTGTCCCAAAGTGGAAGGGATGACACCATCTTGAAGGGTCCTTGTTGTCTGTCTTGAACTCTTTGGCTTTCGCTGAGTTGTTTCAATGCTACTTCTTTCACATAAAACAAGTGCTTCACTCCACACTTCATCAAAGGAGGCTTCACTGCGATATTGTACCAGTGTCTCTTTAAGTGCTTCAACTAGTTCCACGGCCTTAGCCAAGTCCAATGTTTTGGACTGGAGCATATCTGACAACAATTTAGAGTCACTCAAGACCTTTCGGAACAGTACAAGGCATCCAACAAAATTCAGATCAATCTGAACCAATATCCCCCTGGCTTCAACAGCTCTATGTGGATGGTTCTCAGAGGAAATCTCTTCAAGCAGCTGTAGTATTGCAGGTAACCTATCCATAACATTGCGACATGCTACATGTCTGCAGGCCCAACGTGTATCACTAAGCCTTTGGAGTTCCCTTGGTGCACCGTCAAACATCTCCCGCTGCACTTCCAGCCATTTGTTGTGTACATAAGACCCAGATATGAACACATACAATCGTTCCATCAATGAGAAGAAGTTTCCCGCATCTGTTACATTTTTGACAGAGTCTACTATGACTAAGTTTAGGCAGTGTGCACTGCAATGCACATAGAAAGCATTTTTGGCTACTTCTTTTATTTTCGCTTGAACACCAGCATGTGCCCCGCTCATCACTGCAGCGCCATTGTAGCCCTGACCGTCAAGGTTTTCTTTATACTCCAGCCCATGTTTCTCAAGAAAACAAATCATCTTACCACTTAACGCAGCAGCATCCAGGCCTTCTACCACGTCAAACTCCAGAAAGCTCTCGTGAACAACACCATTGTAATAGTATCTCAGAACAAATGAAATTTGGTCTTTTTTCTGAAGATCTTTAGTTTCGTCTACAATAACTGCAAACTGCCTGCTCTTTTTAACCTCTTGAATTATTTCTTCCTTAACCATTGCAGCCAAACATTCCAGTATCTCGTTTTGAATAGTTTTACTGGTGTATGTTGCATTTTTAGCTTGCTTTTCAAGTCTTTTTTTAGTCATAGGATCATGGTTTCCCAGCAAATCTAACATAGCTAAAAAAACACCTTTTTTTTCTGAGTCAGGATTCTCCCTGTGACCCCGTTGGGCTGTGTTTTCTGTGGCAGTTAGAATCAGAATCTCAGCTAGTGTTTTAATGTAGTTTTGATTTTCAATCACCTGTTTCTTATTTTGCTCATCCATTATTCCCATCATTGAGGTATTTCTGTCACTAATTTTCTTGTTTTCTCCCCGTGCAAATATTGCATTTACATGGCTTTCAGATCGGGCATGAGAACAGAAACCACTGTCTTTCATTGTGGCCTTTTTCCAGTTACGATACCCGTCAATTGAGGTGAAAACGGTCTTGGGGGCATCAGGTAAAGAGAAATGTCTACAGGGGAAACAATACGCTGAATCATTGGACTGTGAGTACTCAAGCCATGAATGAGTTTTGTACCAGTCCGTTCTGAAGCTTCTTCTGGCTCCTCCCTGAAGGGTCTTGGGGAAACTCTCCCGTGTCGGCTGAGCTGGCTCCTCACACCTGGACTTGGATATGTCTAGAAAATGGGAGTAAAACATATTCAAACTGTAATAGAGCTTAACTGATTACACATTATAATTAACTAATTATAACACAGTTTGGAGCTGTCATTTATTCAATATGTGTTTAACCTACTGGCTGTGTTAATGCGTGCAGCACAACATTTTGGCCTGGGTGTGTGTATTGTTTTGGGTAATTTTTGAATTTCAACCTCAGCTGCTATAATAGGTCTAAAATACATTGTACACAAAATACTCACAATCTACCCTTTTCCTCATACTCAAAACTATCTAAGGAAAGCAAACATAATTGTTTTGAATTAATAATATATTTATTAGACTGAGGCTAGCCCTGTCTCTTAAATAAACTGTTTTGCAAAATGTCCTTTTGTGTGATTTTTGCATCTTATTCAGATGCATTATACTTTGTATTAACAATTTTCATACCATGTGGACCAACTCGACTGGCCGTTGGTTGCAAGGGCTTAGGAATATTCCTTTCCCCCTCACTGTCTGAGCTCTGCATGCCGTCTTGTTGTCTCTCGCTCTCTCCCTCTTGCACCTTGTCTATGTGATGCTCTCCCTCTTCCGTCTCTTCTTCTCTGTTGTGTTCTCCTTCCTCCTCCTGTCCCTGTTCATCTTTGCCTTCTATCTCATCACTGACACTTTCCTGTTGCTGTTCTTCATCTCCTTCCAGCTCCTCATGTCCCTGGTCATTTATCTTGTTACTTCCCTGTTGCTCAGCCTCACTTTCTATCCTCTTTGGTGAGAAAAAACTTGCAATGCCACGTTTCCTCTTCATTTCTATAAGATTCAAAGTCCATTTATTACGTTGTTTTCTTTTATATTACCAGTAATCATTATTAATAATGGTGTTCAAATGAAAATGCTGTTTGAGCAAATGCTTGTTGTTTTCCCACTTACTGTGTGCTTCAAACTCCAGCTTGTGGCCCAATCTTTGCTTGCAATCCAAACAGATTCCTGAAATAAGATTCAAAGTTATTATTGAAGAGCAGAATCGTTTAGCCTTGATCAGGTCGTACATCTTGCTAAATGATTGATAATATACAAATATTTCATGCATGACATTTTTTTAAACAAAAACCTAGCTAACGTTCCACGCACACTGTATAGCGACCTTGGGTCCCTGGAAAGGCGCTATATAAATATCATTTATTATTATTATTACAGTAAGTAAAGAGTTACTGATAATAACTTTACTCAACCGGATTTGTATCGTTTCAATATCAGCATTAACGTTATGATTCACATTGACATATCTAACTTCTCTCTTTTCTGTAACTGGAAAACATTAGCTTTGTTCTACACTTATTTCACAGGAGACGTAGTTGATCAGTCTTACCTCATTCCTTCCGTCTACTTCACCGAATGCTTCTCTATTTGTTCTGTCCCGTTCAAAATGAAATCGCCGCCAATCACATTTCAGCTCGCGCCAGGGAGGGGGGTAACTGGCTTGCGTCTTGTGGTGCATTCACTTGCACTCGGACATTAGAGATTTTTTCTCATAAATGTCCGATGAGCCACAACTTTTATTTTAAAACAAAGCTGCCAACTGGGGTGGCAGCTGGGGTGGCAAGGATGTGTTTTAGGGTGGCAGCTGCCACCCCATGCCACCCCGGTAGATCCGCCCCTGCCACTTACCTCATGTATAAATAGTCCTGTCTCCCTTTGTCCTGTGCCAGTTCGTCTTGTGCCTTGTGCCATTAAGAGAGCCAGCTTGTCACGCCAAGAGATTTTGTACTTTGTGATCATAGTCAAGTTTTTTTTTTAGTTTGTAGTTTAGTTGAGACAGAGACGATAAACTTCCTTAGTCCTTAGGCATGGTTTATTTTACTCTGCACTGCAGGTGCATCCTTTCGCTCAGCCGAGCTAACTTAGAATAACAACACCTATTGCCTCACAGTGGTACAATAATAACATGACATCCCTTTGTGAGCTTGAGTACAGAATATATATATATATATATTTAACAACTGAGGACAAATGTACACATTTCCCTTAACACAAGTTTATCACGTTAACAGTTTTCTATGCTCATCGAGTCATTCGTGAGCAGAGCATCAAGTTGGCTATAACAGCTGAATGCGGCGATTTCCATGTTGTTCAGCAAAACGCCTCACAAACTTATTGAGATCCAAAGCTTTACTGGGTTTTGATTTAATGCTGAGTACAGCCAAACTTGACAGTCTCTTTTCTGTCATTGTAGACCTCAAATAACTCTTAATGATCCTAAGAGTTGAAAAACTTCTTTCACAGGATGCACTGCTCACCGGTAAAACTACTGCTATTTCACACAATCTGGACAACTCGTAAAAAATATCCTTGTATGGGTCCAAAAATTGAGCAAACTCCATCAGAGTGGTAGGACTCCCCTTTTCCTTCTTCTTTATTTCTAGTACTCTCCTCGTCTGATGTAATTCGTGTTTAAGATCCTCAATCCTTGAAACGGAACATCATAGTGGGGCCCTCATCACTGATGTCAGTGATCACCTGCCAATATTCACAATTTGCAGAAAATAACCTGTAAATAACAAAGAACAAAATACATACATAACTAAGCGGACATTAAATGACAGTTCTCTAAATAAATTAAATACTAACTTAAAAAATTAAAAATGGCAAGAAGTATTTGAGATTCAAGATGTAAACAAATCCTATAATGAGTTTGTACGGATTTTCATGCAAAACATGAACGAATGTTGTCCATATATTAAAATTAAGATTGGCAAAACCCTGGTGAAAAACGCTTGCTGTAAGAAAAATGCACTCGATAGGACATTTTTGAAAAGTAAAAGCACTGAAGATGAAAGCCGTTATAAAAATTGTATAAAAACAAATTGACTACAATCCTTAGAAACTGTGAAAAACGATACTTCTCTGAAAAATTAGAAAATGCCATAAGAGATATGAAAACCACTTGGAAAGTAATAAATAGCATAATTAAGAAGAAAATAACTGACAACAGAAACGAATTTAAGAAATTCCAAACCGAAGGAAAAACCTCAACCGATGTTGCAAATAGCTTTAATGAGTTCTTTACTGAAATTGGCCCCAACCTGGCGAGTAAAATCAGCCCAACTTCATCTAAAGTGGCTGATTTTCTGAAAAACTGCAACCAACAGAGTATGTTCCTGAACCCAATTACAGAAAATGAACTGCTTGATATTGTTAATACTCAACACAGTAAACAGTCCAAAGATTATTTAGGACTTAGTATGAATATTGTTAAACAAGTCGCACCAAACATTGTAGCCCCCCTAGTAAATATATGCAATAAATCGTTCCAACAAGGTATTTTTCCCAATGAAATGAAAATCGCGAAGGTGATTCCGGTTTTCAAATCTGGTGATAAATCTAGTTTTTATAATTATAGACCCATTTCTTTACTACCACAATTCTCAAAAATCCTGGAAAAACTCTTTAACAACCGTCTGGAGTCATTCCTCAGCAAATTTAATATACTATGCCCCAGCCAATATGGATTTCAGAAAAATCACTCTACTTCTTCAGCAGTAATTGAACTGGTTGAAGAAATTACCAACAACATTGAGAAAAAAATTATTACAGCTGGTATATTCATTGACCTTAAAAAGGCTTTTGATACTGTGAACCATACCATACTGCTACACAAATTAGAACATTATGGCATAAGGGGTCAAGCCAAAGAATGGGTCAAGAGTTATCTGATAAATAGGCTACAATATGTGGACATAGACGAGGCGAAATCAAACAATCTTCCTATAACATGTGGAGTCCCTCAAGGATCAATCTTAGGTCCAAAACTGTTCCTGATTTATATTAATGACATTATCAACACCTCAGACATGTTAAAATTCATTTTGTTTGCCGATGATACCACCATTCTCTGCTCCCATCATAATCTTGGTGATCTTGTTAAAATTGTTAATGCAGAATTAAAAATACTATGTAACTGGTTTGCAGTTAATAAATGATCCCTTAATGTGGCCAAAACAAATTACATGTTATTCAATACAAAGTCAGAGAGTAGAAATGATTATTATACGGATTTGCAATACTGAGATAAGAGAAAGTTGGTGCATGTACATTTTTAGGACTCATTGTTGATGAAAAACTCAACTGGAAGCACCATATAAATGATGTACAAACTAAACTGTCAAAAACAATAGGTATTTTGTATCATACTAAGAACATTCTCGAGGAAAAAATACTCAGAACTCTTTATAACAGTCTATTCCTCCCTTACCTTTATTACTGCTCCGAAATATGGGGAAACACGTACGCAACAAATCTACAAAAAATAATAACATCTAAAAAAAAAAGTATTACGAATAGTCTGTGGTGTTGGTAAATATGAACACACAACTCCCATATATAAAAAAACTCAATCTACTCAAATTTGTTGATATAGTTAAGCTTAAAACAGTACTGATTATGCACAACATTTACCATAACAAAATGCCTACTAACATTCAAAAGCAGTTCCAAACCACAGTCAGGAAATACCCAACCAGGCATCCTAACTGGTTGTGTAGCAAGCCCTGTAGAACAACCATCAAATCACACAGCTTATCCATAATCGGAGTTAGAACGTGGAATGGACTTCACCCAGACCTCTCAAGTATTACTATTCAAAACTAAAGTAAAAACAATTATATTTGCAGATTACTCCAGCTAACAAGTATGTGATATTCCTAGTATTACTTATATATGCATTTACTTTTTTCCTTGCCCTAAATTTAAATTTAATTTTTTTTTCCAGTTTTCTTTATTTTTTTGTACGTAATTTCTATACGTTTTTGACGAAATAAGTGCCATTATTATATTGATGCTAATGATGATGCACGGGAGGGCTACTCCCCATAAGCTATGCTTCAGCCCTCCCGCTTCTACTAATTTTGTTCATTTGTGTGAATGAATTATACGTTTTTGTTTTTGTATGATTTTAGTAGAATAAATTAAAAATGAAAAAAATATATATATATTAGAATCATAGGCATTAGCCAATAAAAGAATAGCCTTCTCACTCAAAAAAGTAGCACTTGATGGATTTAGTGCCTGGATACCTTGCATTATGTTGCAATTTGTGTGAGAAAAGCGTCTTTCTATTTCTCCAATCATGTTATCCATAACTGGATAGTACACATTGACGCAAAAAGAGTGTTTGCCATCTGGAACTACATGCTGTCCCAAAGTGGAAGGGATGACACCATCTTGAAGGGTCCTTGTTGTCTGTCTTGAACTCTTTGGCTTTCGCTGAGTTGTTTCAATGCTACTTCTTTCACATAAAACAAGTGCTTCACTCCACACTTCATCAAAGGAGGCTTCACTGCGATATTGTACCAGTGTCTCTTTAAGTGCTTCAACTAGTTCCACGGCCTTAGCCAAGTCCAATGTTTTGGACTGGAGCATATCTGACAACAATTTAGAGTCACTCAAGACCTTTCGGAACAGTACAAGGCATCCAACAAAATTCAGATCAATCTGAACCAATATCCCCCTGGCTTCAACAGCTCTATGTGGATGGTTCTCAGAGGAAATCTCTTCAAGCAGCTGTAGTATTGCAGGTAACCTATCCATAACATTGCGACATGCTACATGTCTGCAGGCCCAACGTGTATCACTAAGCCTTTGGAGTTCCCTTGGTGCACCGTCAAACATCTCCCGCTGCACTTCCAGCCATTTGTTGTGTACATAAGACCCAGATATGAACACATACAATCGTTCCATCAATGAGAAGAAGTTTCCCGCATCTGTTACATTTTTGACAGAGTCTACTATGACTAAGTTTAGGCAGTGTGC